ACACGTACCGATACTTCAACTATATTTACAAGTACACCCACGTTACCGATACTTCAACTATATTTACAAGTACACACACGTACCGACATTCAACTATATTTACAAGTACACCCACGTACCGATATTCAATTATCTTCACAAGTACATACACGTACCGATACTTTAACTATCTTTACAAGTACACACACGTACCGACATTCAACTATCTTTACAAGTACACACACATATTCATCTATGCTACTTCAACTATCCTTAAAGGTACACACTCATAAACTTCAACTATATTTACAAGTACATACATGTACCGATACTTCAACTATATTTACAAGTACACACACGTACCGACATTCAACTATCTTTACAAGTACACCCACGTACCGATATTCAACTATCTTTATAAGTACACACACGTACCGATACTTCAACTATATTTACAAGTACATCCACGTACCGATACTTCAACTATATTTACAAGTACACCCACGTACCGATATTCAATTATCTTCACAAGTACATGCACGTACCGATACTTAAACTATCTTTACAAGACACATACGTACCGGATACTTCAACTATCTTTACAAGTACACACACATATTCATCTATGCTACTTCAACTATCCTTAAAGGTACACACTCATAAACTTCAACTGTTTTTTGCGAGTACACAAATGTATTGCTACACAACTATTCACGAGTTAACACTAACACACACACTGCTACTTCAGCTATCTACACGACACTTTTTATCCAACTATCTTTACGTGTACACGCGCACTACTATTTTACTTCAACTGGTCCTACAACTTTCTTTAGCTACTTTTACGATTACACGGATATGCCCTGCTACTTCAACTATTTTACATCGAAAACTTAGCTTTGATTTTAGATAATTTAGAATGAGTATGTTTAGGTAGTAATGTTAATTTTTCTCTCCTTTCATCTTTACTTTAGGTTATAGCAATTTTTGCCTTTGCTACGACATCTGGATTTGGTTCAAAATCGTCGTTTCGGGTGAAGTGCATGACCTCGGAGAAAGAGACCGACATTAATTATGAATATGGTTATCCTTTCCGGTAAGGATACGTTTTCGCTAGATGTACTTAGCTTAATAAGACAAGTCCTATCATTTTCCATGTCATCAATCAAATTTGATCGTCTCGGGTATTTCAATAATTACCCCTAACTGTTACCCCTAAATATGTATAATTTGAAAAGTTGGAATAATTCAAACATTTTCATGAAGTATTAATATAAATAGAATGAGAATGGACAACGTTTTAAGAGACAGAATATGGCCTTAAATGGTTTAATAAAATACATTTCACAGTTTTATTGTGTGTGTAAGAGGTAGATTTTTTTTTTGTAAAAAAAGGTCGTTTTATTTTTACATATTATACAACGAAGGTCGATTTTTTAAAGTTATTTGTGTTGGCAGGACAGGAGGTGTATAAAGCATTATAAAAGTCAAAATTGTTATTACTGTTTGTAGCCTATTGTTGCTAAAACTTTAGTTGATGGAGAGTAAAAGCATTATATATATATGGCACTTAATTATTTTCTCTTGGTGATATATGCGTATTCAGCTTATTACAAATTTAATTAGTCTCAAATAATTACTACTGCATGTATTTTCTTTATTTAAGATTGATTCACAAAAATGAAAATTGGTTTTTAATATGAAATATCCACCCAGATGATGACGTCGTACATCTGATAAATTTTGGCAGGGCTTTGGCACAATAAAATTTGCTATATACCACTGGGTAACCTTCTTTAAGACAAACGTTTACTTTTGAATACTTTAAATATGTATTTAAATATTCTACTAACTAGTAATAACGGAGCTAAATAAGATGGTTTTTGAACTTTGATAATGGCGGGCATTGCTTCGACATAGTTCATGTTAAGGTCAGATACATGTGATCTAGTTCCATGAAACTGTAGAGACATTAGAATTTGATAATATGTATATTTTAAATACTAAACAATCCGGACTTTTAGACATAAGATAAAACTGTACACGTGCATCTGACGGTTGGATAAAAATGAAGTATCAACTGATCACTTCTTGACAGTAAGGGTTTTAGGTTAATCGATAAAAGTATTTAGCTTTAATTAATTTTTAAACAAATTGCTTATTTTTAGGTTAAAACTACGTAATGGGCTCTGTCCATCGCGAGTAATCGAACCCCAGATTTTAATATTATAAGTACTCAACCTACTGCTGACCCAGGATTTCTTTCTAAATAAACTGCAGCTGTTTTACGTCTTCTGTGTACTATATTGACTTATATATCTGTTGCTTGTAAACAAGTGCAAGATAAAATACTACATTTGTTAAAAAAGAAAAATCAACGCACAAGAACCCGTTGTGTATGGATAGTATCTTCGCGGTATTGAAGATATACCTAGATAGTTATATTCATAATTTGTATGCGAAATCATATCACACATACTAAAATGTATTGGAATCGTGCTTGTCCAAGGACGGTGACGTCACTTGAAATTGTTCTTCCAATTTACACCTAGATAGTTATATTCATAATTTGTATGCGAAATCATATCACAAATACTAAAATGTATTGGAATCGTGCTTGTCCAAGGACGGTGACATCACTTGAAATTGTTCTTCCAGTTTACATGTTCATAGCAGGACTCGTCCATTGGAATAAGTGATAGCAGCAACTATTGTCACAGATTTTGAGCAAATATTTCCACTATTATCTAAATCGCGCTAGAGGTACGTGTGTAAACACGATTGGGTGTTTAATGTAAACATTCACACATTCACACTTTTTGATTTGTGCCAAGGGGAATGGTTTTAATCAGTTAAACTATGAGATGGGTGCTAGGTTTCATAAGCGTGTTTTAAAGCGAAATTGTGTGCGTAATATAATATTGTTACGTCTCTGGTCGTTGGTTAATTTTCCGTAGAAATTCTTTCCGAAAAACTTCAGCGATACAAGTCATTTCTTAAATAAAACTAGTTTATTGTTTCTCAATACAACTTTGCAATACACTTAACTTCCACAGTCACTTTAGCTTCAACACACGCTATAATTCAGAATGATTCACGCACTTTTCTTACGGTCACTACCGCGCTTGACTCAATTGTCCGTCTCTATCTCTGCCTGTCTGCAATTCAATTATTTATGCCATTACTTCTCGCCGGTCTTACATATACAAAACAGAGGGCGTCTGGCAAACACTCGAGCCTTCAGGAACGTTCGAGATACTCATTACGTGTTACCAGAGTCACGTGACTTCCGCTGTCGTAATAATATCAAAAACTTAAATACATAAAGCGATATTAAACATTTGAATTTTGTGCCAAGATAAACTTACGAATTATGAATGTTTTATTGAGTATTAGTGTTTATTTGTTTGTTTGTTTGTTTGTAATTAAGCACAAAGCTATACAATGGGCTATCTGTGCTCTGCCCACCACGGGTATCGAAACCCGGATTCTAACATTGTAAGTCCGCAGACATACCGCTGTGCTATTGGGGGGCGAGTATTAGTGTATTGTTTGCATGATTATTCTTTTTAGGGAATCATAAATCGGTTTGTTTTGAATTTCGCGCAAAGCTACACGAGGGCTATCTGCGCTAGCCATCCCTAGTTTAGCAGTGTAAGACTAGAGGGAAGGCAGCTAGTCATCACCACCCATTGCCAATGCTTTTACCCACGAATAGTGGGACTGACCGTCACATATAACGCCCCCACGGCTGAAAGGGCTAGCATATTTAGTTTGACGGGGATTCGAACCCGCGACCCTCAGATTGCGAGTCGAGCGCCCTAACCACTTGGTCATGACGGGCGGAATCATAAATAAATAAAAAAGATCGCGTTTATTAGAAGATTTGTTTAAAATCTCTATCGTTATTTTAATTTTTCTAATACAGAAAAAATAATGTTGAGCTTATCTTAGTTAGGACTTTAAAAAGACTGTAGATGTTAATTACTTTGTTAAACTTCATCATCAAAAGCGACGTCACAACATTCAAAGACACTTAAAAAATTGGGCACTCTTCAGTTTGGTTGAAACAAAGTATCTCGCAAATAATTCACGAATTACTTAGAAATATTATATATTCAGTCTCTTAATGATTACGTGCGTATGAGAAAATCACAATGTAATGCTCTGACATTTGCTCTAGAGTTGAAGCTTTCGCACGGTACCTGATGCCAGTTCATGAGGGAGAGTAACAGAGTGTATGCTGAGCAGTTTAATAAAACTCTACAAGTATACTCGAAGGATTACAAAAAGTTAGAGTGTTTTCTGACATTTTGTGAGATTGCTTATATATATATATATATAACATTTAATATCTGGCTTAAACTGAATAGCTTTTTTTTATATAAACGTAATTTTTAGTTTTTGAAGTGAAGGGACTTGGTTTAAATATCAGAAGCCGGAGCAGTGTTTCGATACCTCTGTTGTTACAATACAAACTGTGAAACTTTCACTTTTACTAATTTATTTAACTCTCTGTATCTACACGTATTTATAACAAACTACAGAAATATCTAGCCCTTCTAGTAACAACAATATCAAACATAACGAGAAACACTTAAAAGCTTCGAGTAAGATGACGTCAACAATATTGTAAAAGCCTAGTACAACAATTAAACTACATACATGTGGCTCGTACAGAGTCATGTAACCAAACTTGTCATAACTATTACTCTTAAAATAATTAACTTTTGGCACTCTTGTTATGAAAAAATTGGCACAAAAATGACCTATTATGTGAATTAGATCGCTACTAGACACATGATGAGAATAATATTAAGTATCTCTCACCCGTTAATACATATCATAAAAATAAACATTTAAGAAGGTACCACCTCACAATAGATTAAGATAATTTACATTAGTTTCTAAAGCCACTTTGACAGCTTTGAAAATGCTATCAAGGAGTTGTAAAACTAATGAAAGTAGATATTACACTGGAACTGTTCGCTAAGTACAGGACGTTGTAATAACGAACTATAGAGAATTGTATACATCCACCGAATAATACAAGAATTGCCCTGAAAGGGGTCTGAGTAAGTGCGGGTTATATTGACCCTCATGCAATGATTATTCTAATATTCTTCTGTAACTGCAACCATTTCACCGAAACCATTACCATCCACAAGGAGGGGGAAGAGGTCGAACGCACCTCTTTAAGACCTACAACCTGACAAGGGGAAGTATGTGTAAATAACCATTAAATATTAGATCACTAAATAATAACCCTTACACCAAACAGTCTTGTATATCCAACATTCAAGGTCAGAAGACGGACTTGAGAATAAGATGGCCTGTATCACGTCAAAACAATTACAGTAGTAGTTCAGATAAACTTGTGAGAGTTAAGAATTAAAAGTTGAGTTAACGTTTCTTCAGATACAAGGTCAGCCACTTACTTGTTTAAAATTTATTTTTGTAGAAATCAATCCAATCCTTGAAAAAAGGAAGTACCTTCTCTTGTAACTTTGGTGTAACAAATGACTCAAACTCAACAGCTAGAGCCAGTGGGTTTCTCCATCAACCTTAGCTGTAAAAAACAACAACAACAAAAAAAAAAAACATTAAATCTTAATGATTATCTCACCTATTTACTTAGATGCAAGTGAGTTAGTTTGTTTCAGAATTTTTGCGCAAAGCTTAAAAAAGAGGCGATATGCGCATAGCTCTCCCTAACTTTGAACTAATAGAATAGAGGAAAGACGGCTAGTCAACATAACCCACCGCCAAACTCTGGAGCTTATCTTATCTGATAAAATAGTGGGAATTGACCGCCACTCTTATAATGCACCCATGGCTTCAAAATTCGGAGCATGTTTTTTTGCGAAAACAGTTCGCGAACTTGAATTCACGGATTCACAGTTCGGCTATGCTGACCACTCGGCCACGCTCAGTCCCTAAACGCAAAAAAAGTACTTCAATTATAAATACCAAAATATGACGTCGATGTAATATAATCACTACGACAAAAAGAATTCAGTAAAGGCTGACATTTTATGTAAAATGATGATGCTAAATTAATTTTACAAGAAACATTCAGTTTTTTTAGGCGAAAAGTTTGAATAAAGTTTATATTTTATTTCAGCCAATCACTTTGGTGCATTTCGCTAATCACAGTAACGTCACGTAATTTCTGTGCCACTGTTTCTAATCTCACTATGATCACACCCTTGTTCTAAACTTTATGAGTTTAATTCCACTTGTAGATTACGCTACTCCAATTTCATTGTGCCGAAATGTGACGGGACTTATGACACCACCACAGAGAAAATTCCCTACGACTTCTCAAGTAGTGCGGAGTTTTTTGTCACCACTGGAGTTCTAACTTTCATGTACTCGCTTGGAATCACCTTGTTCTACATCTTTGCCCATCAAAAATACATTGATGACCAAGTTGTGCCAATTACTGTAAGTAAAGTTTTCTGCGCCCTCTCTTGAGTGGGAACTTGAACTTTCAAGTATAATACTTATTCATTTTTGACCGGTTTTTATTATATCTGCCTTTACTGTTTAAGAATATGTAGCAATAGGTATAGTTTTTTTTTACCTTTAACTTCAGTACTTTTCTATTATCCCTTTGGAGTGAAACGATTATTGTTAATTGAAAATAATAATAGATAAAATCGTGCCAGGCACTTTAACATACAGATAAGATGGAGCCATTTGGTCCTTCAAGACTGTCTCTGCACACCCAGCCATGATAAAAAGTAAAAACAAAAATTAAATCAACCCTCTATTTTTCAGGAAATGTACATTGTCCATTTTATCCAAACCTTAAATCTGTGTTCTCTTGTTCTTTTATCTTCAGAATATATAACAAAGAAATCAAAAGTCTTTATCCTATCGATACCTCAGATAATCTTGTAAACTTCAACAAGATCATGTCTTACCCTTCTTTTCTAAAGAGATCTTAACCCATTCCAGTAAAATAACCCTTCCATTCCCAGAATCACCCTACTATCCCTCCTCATCCGGACCATTTTCCAATAAGTTGATATTATTTCTTAGATAAGAAGGCCAAACTATATAATGGGAAAAGATTTGTCAAAAATACACAACAGTAGGTGGAAGACACTGCCAGTTTATTCTGAAATTACGAAACGGTTTGGCCAAAGTTCCTTCATCAGATGATGCCTAAAATCGTCATAACAACTGAACAAGAAAGAAACTAGAGTAGCTGTTACTAATCAACTTTTTAAAGAAAGATACGAGTGGACGTAAGCGTGGGTGAAAATTTGGATCACAATAAACTAAATATATATATATATATATTTCACAATGAAGCATTAAATAAAAGAAAGTTTTTCGTTTAAACTTGATGAGGAAAGGTTTCCTTGGCGTTCACACCATTTCCATCATACAAATAACACTTAACATCCTTGAAGAAAAATGTTACTAGAATAGTAAAGGAAGAATCTCCCTTTAGCAAATTTATGTTGATTTTCTTTTGTGATATAATATTTCACGAGATGATTTCTTCAAAGTTTCTATCATCAGATTATCTAGACTTCTTTCATCTATAGAATGCCCCCCAGTGGCACAGCTGTATGTCTGCGGATTTACAACGATAGAATCCGGGTTTCAATACCCGTGGTGAGCAGAGCACAGATAGCCCATTGTGTAGCTTTGTGCTTAAGTTGAAACAAACAAACAAACATCTATAGAAGTACGACTAACTGGTTGATAAGAGCACCAGTAGCAAGATGTTTTAATTCATTTATGTGTATAATTTTATAACTTGTTCTATTGTTGGTCAGGTTTTTATGGGTTATGTGGTAAAATAATGCCAAGTCCATATCACGTAACGGTAAGGAATTGTTTTGTTTCTTATTGTTTTATTTTTGTAGTAAAGTACAAAGCAATACAATTTTTTGCACACCACGGGAATCGAAATTCAGTTTTAGCGTTAAAACTTATCGATAAGTCACTATGAGCCAATTTGTTTCTTACAGTTCAGGCTACGTTTCTTGTAGGCCTAATTTCACAAACAATGTTTTAATAGAAATTCCTAAACTAATGTACACCTTAATAGCTTGATCACTGATGATTAACTGCACTGACGTTCACTGTTAATTCACTAACTGACTTAATAATTCACTGATACTCGTTAAATAACTGCTTCACTGAATCTTATATATATATATATATCTTACTTTTATCTCTACATACCACTCAAAATTTCCAGATTCTTAACTTTTGTGAAGTTTCTAGATATGGCGCTCTACGTCCTCAAGCAAACAAACATCTAAATTAAAATATTGTTTAAAATATAACATCACGGATGCATTTCATTGCTACACTTGTGTATCTAAACGTAGTACTGTCATTCTCCTTGGGGAACGTAATTAGTTTCGCTTTAAATTCATTGATTCGCACTAGGTGGTACTCAACGCCGTAAATCACAACTTATTGTGCTTTCACTCAAAGATAAACCCTTCACACACATTTTACTGAATGAAATTGTGTTATTTAATTTACGTTATTGCTTTCATATTGATAACTTTTTTGTTAACAACAGGAAAACTTAATTCAGATAAAATTTACTTTAACTAAAGAAAATTCATCTATTAATTAGAATAAATTAGAAACTGGCGAACAATTAGTTCTTATATTAACATTGTTTAAAACATAATCCTTTTGAACCTACATTTTTGTTGCTGCTAACTATTGTGTGAAATGTTAACCAGTGCTATTTCATGTTTTGTTTGTTTATTTTTATCAAAAAAGTGTGTTTTTTGCCATTGGCAACTTTGAATAGTTTATCAAATATCTGAAACTCAACTATTATTCACGTCACATTGGCCAGTCACTCACGTTGTTATATAAAGCTTCCTAAAAACGAAAATAAAGAGAGATATATTTGTATATATAATGTATTTTATAGATTACAAGGATTAGGTCCTGTTTTAATCTTATGGATATTGTTTGGCTAATCCTGATTATTACAGGATCTTGGTATCACCGGAATACTGACCATCTTCTGGTTAGCTGGGTCGAGTGCTTGGGCTCAGGGAGTAAGTGACATGAAGTATTACACCAGTCCAGTCACTTTGGCTAAGAACTTGGAAGTTTGCAGCACACTCGCGACATGTGAAACCACGTTTGAAGGAAACTATGCGACATTAAACGTGTCCTTGGTAAGTCGACTTTCTGAACAATTTTTCCACCGTTTACAGAAAAGGATACTTATAATACCTTTCATCACCACAGAATACCGTAATATGTTGGGTGGATACAAAACTCGACAGCAATAAGGCAACAAATTAATTTCTGAGTAATCTTAACAAAATATTATTGTCTGCAAAGATAGATGGCGCTTTTTGGTTGATTTTTTTTTCCTGTAAGTTCACAAAGTCTGTGTTTTATGTTTGGGCTTTCGCACATGCCACGTGATAAATGTTTTTTAAATCTTATGTATACCTAAAATCTCTTTTCCACATGTTCCAAAAAAAAAAATTAAAAGTACAGTCTAACGTAAAATGTTCTAACTAAACCATATTTAAATAAGTTGTATTTCACAAACCATAATATACATATTCTGAATCGCTATATGAACACCTTTAGCATCTGATTCTCCTGGTAATAGATGTGTTAGGTAAGTATTCCAGAATATTTTACTCATTAAATGTATTTCCAGGTACTGAAGGTGTTATATGCACTCCTTTAAGTTCTAAAGAACTAGGTAAGTACCCCCAAAAGATTTTACTCACCAACTGTATTTCCAGGTACTGAAGATGTTATATGCACTCCTTTAAGTTCTAAAGAACTGGGTAAGTACGCTAAAAGATTTTACTCACTAACTGTATTTCCAGGTACTGAAGGTGTTATATGCACTCCTTTAAGTTCTAAAGAACTAGGTAAGTACCCCCAAAAGATTTTACTCACTAACTGTATTTCCAGGTACTGAAGGTGTTATATGCACTCCTTTAAGTTCTAAAGAACTGGGTAAGTACGCTAAAAGATTTTACTCACCAACTGTATTTCCTGGTCGTGAAGGTTTTAGATTTAGTCTGTGACAATCTTCCGTTCTAGGTTTGTATTTTACTACCTTTCAGATCTTCGGTTTTGCAAACTGCCTGTTATGGGCTTCTAGCTTGTGGTTTGTCTACAAGGAGACGGTTTTTCATTATCAGCGACAAGAACTGTTGAAGCAACTTCCACCACAGTACCCCCAAAGCTATCCTCAAACACAGTCTCCAGGGATGGACATGCAATTCCAATACTAAAGGTGTTACACCTGTCAGATTCGTATTCTCGCGGCTAAGCTTAAGGTGTCGTCAAGATAATAAAGCAGCAACCATGGAGCATACGTTACCAAGTACCTTTTCCTCTCCTCCTCTCAATCCCCAGAGGTTCAAGTATAGAAGATAAAAGATGTAGCATATAAAACTAGTGAATAGTGTTTGTTGTTGTATAAAAACGTAGATGTGGACACCTGTACCTTATAGAAAGTACACCCAAGTACTTAAACTATGCATGTTCTTCCATGATGTTTAGAATGTTATTATATATATTTTATTCTTTCTATTTGGGAGCGAGAACATTATAACACACAATCTGACTTACTTTATTAAGGTTCCATTCAATCAAGAGTTAATATACGCAGTAGACCCGTGTGAATAGACGGAGATTGAACTCTCCATACGTTACACTAAGCTATTTAAACTTTATTTGGCTGTAATGGCGAATACACTTTTTGCTTTGCTTTTCTTGTCGATTCGTGTTCACAATTTCCATCAAGTACAACTACACTAACATGTGCAATGTTCGATCATTAGTGAAGCCCACTAGCACGCTCAACCCTCCGTACGTTCATGATGTTAGAAAACACGTCGGTTTGATAAAATAATTCAACGTTTCTATACGTGATGTCATTGTTGCGGGTATAGTTTCACTGCTGCTTCTGTTGCGAAAATAGTCCCACTTCTACCACTGTCAAAAATGTAATTGTACAAAAATCTTTTTAAAGTATACAACACATTTTACATTGATTTTTGAAATCATAAGCTCAGTAAGTGCAGCTGTAATCAAATGCACTTAAAAACTTAGCACTCAGTATGTTATAGTAACCACTGACCTTCGACATATTTATACTGCTTTAGGACAGTTGATAGAATAGAATGGAACTGGACATAAGATATGTGTAATTTAATTTTGAAGTTATAATTTTTCAATAGTTTTAAACTATAGTCTAACTTAACTTCGTAACATATGAAGCTTCTATTAAATCATAAAAAGAATAAAATAACATTTAACAAATTTCTTGTTGTTCTTCATGTATGGCCGTATTCAGCCGTTTGAATGAACATAATCTGATCATGTATTTACATACACATAACCCACATAAATATCATAATTTATCGGATTAAGAACATTTTGATTCATATATATTATTACGTTTTCTTTTATAGATGATTTGGGCCGAGTATTCATGCACAACCCAAGAGAAAACGTCAAAGTATCTTAGTTATCTTTGTTTTTTAACAACGTGTTATTTGCCCATCAACGAAATTATTTTTACAAAAACGTCTTGTTTTTCGACCAAAGTAGATTTATCTTACTTACTAGTCAGCTTTCTAACTCATCAATCATTTCACGATCGATGTGGCAAAAAGGGTGTGATAGGAAAACAGTAATTTATATCTATTTCTGGCCCGAGCGTGTCAGGCTGTGGATCCAAGATTTCGCGCCTGTTACCGACAAAACAAAAATTATGTTCCGCACTTTCGGTCCGTAGGACCCTAATAAGAGTTACGGTCAAATCCCGCTAATCGATTACAGTACCCCACGAGTTGGCGGTGGACGGTGTTGACTAGCTGCCTTCCCTCTGATCTATTACTTAAAAATTGTGGACGGCTAGTGCAGATAGCCCTAGAGTAGCTTTGCACGAAACTCAACAAACAACAACAATATATAGTTCTTTGCTTGTTAAACAAGAGAGCAGTGCTATCGTCAAGGGTCAGCAGGCCTGTTTTGTGTTTTACTTGATAACTGTTAAAATAAGATACAAGGATACAGAGTTAAATTAATAAATATTCACAAACTACAGGGGACCTTAAGTGTCTCTAAAAAAATCGTCAGCTTTGCTATCAGTTACTTGGTGCACCTTTTATTTTCATTTCATTCTGAAGCTAAGTTGAATACACGAGAATAAAGACACTTAGATGCCGAATCAAAGCAGTCTTTTAATAAATCTTGATGTTTGACCAGAACAGTAAGATCACTAAGGCACATTTTATGAAACAGGGTTCTGCAAAGCGCTATTAAAGGATTTTTTAGAACTGTAATTTTCAAATATAATTTGAAATATATATTGAGCCAGTTGGTAGGGATGTTTTTTTTAATATTAAGAAATTAGAATCAAGAAACTATTTAAAATATACACCTGGAAAAAAGTTAAGCACCCCCGTGTTTTTTTCAAGTG